TTTATCCGCGTCTTGTTTCCGCCGACACGCAGCTGGTTGGTTACTGTCGGGCCAGAGCCCATAGTTCGGTCAAATCCCACGGGGTCGAGTGATACTGAGAATGGGGTCAATAGGAGAGCAGTCACATCTCAGCCGTGAGGCTATGGTTACGGCCCATCGAGAAAAGAAAAGACGGTAAAATCACCCTGGGTACTTGCTACAGAAAAGCCGAGCCGCAGGATACATATTCTGTACAATCCAGGGGTTACATCTACGAGTGTAGTGTTCACGGTTCAAATACCCACCCACCTCGGCGAATCTTCCCGTTCTCTACAGCCGCCTTTGCATGGCAGAATCTTCAATAACCCGTATCGATCTGCATTCGTAAAGGCACTGGCCTGAGATCGGATCCCTAGTAACGCGCCTTCCGGTGCTTTAACCTTCCAAAATTGGTTAGATCTTGATGCCGGGCGCTTGTATGCGTTGCAAACTTGCCCCCAACTAGAAGGGACCCTTGCAAAGACTTGTTGGATAGGTTGACGTACGCTGGCTTGCGAAGCTCCTACCCGACAAGGAAGTAATGAAGGCTGGCCCATGGTTCTTGTCGTTCACTTTGCGAGGAACGACAACGACAGCCGATCATGACATCGGTCAGCGCTCGCTAAAGACCAGTGTATGATGTCCGGTGAGAGATACTGTGAGTGGGAAAAATATCTCCTTCTCTCAACTTCGTATTCCGAGAAACTCAATTACGGCCGAAGCGTTGTCTTTCGACATGCGTCTATCAAACTTTATACATGGAGTTGGTTAGTTGTCTGTGGACAAACCTCGCAATTATTGAAGCATGCTTAGGCCTAGTGGCCAAGCGTACCTCAGCCAAGCAAGGGCCTCCAACCGGCAAATGCCAAGACAAAACTGAAAGGTGGGGACCGTACGGGAGCGGGGCCCGGCTGGCCGGTCTTCTCGGGCCGGGGGCTTGGGGCTTGGGGCTTGGGGCTAGACGGCTGGCGTACCCTTGCTGATAGAAATTTTCTCCCTCCTTCTCCCCTCTCATTCATTTACCCCCCAATCCATGCGCATGTTATACGATGGGCGGGTACCATGGGAAATTCTGAAGGACGTGGCAAGTTGAAAAACCCCCGCTTTCGCATCCGATCGGGGCGCTGAACCGATGTCCTTTGTGTGAATTGCCTTCTTTGAGAGGGATTGGAAAGGGCGACAACGACCATTTGCATCTGCGAAGCAGGGGTTGGCTGGCTGATTATTGACAGCGTGGCTGCGGACAGCTGATTGACTTGTGGTTTGTGGGAAAGACTCCGAAAGAGGGGTAAAGAGGGAAGAGACAAGAGGATCGTGGCAGTGTGCGTTATTCCCGTCAGCCTTTGGAGGGTGTAGGGCTGCGGCAAACGTGACCTCTGGCCTGCTGATGTCGCATTCAATACACACGAGTTTCAACATTCAGATGAGCCTTCTGGTTGAAAGAGGTGACTAATATCTTTAAAGCTTGTGGTTTTGGTGGACGCGTACTTGAGTTCTCAGATACTGATGAGTACTGCTGGTTATTCCTGAGTTATGCTTGATATGCATTGAAGGTTGTCGTAGATCTTCTGGCTGAGCTTTGCTCAACTCAGGGTAAAGAGCTTGGATCTCAGAAGATTTGCTTGTAAGCCTTTTGTGTGGTCTGAGTATGTCTTGTTTGCTTGTGGGCATAGGCCGTCTCGCGCTTCCGTCACTTTCGCGCAAGTATTCTGTGCCTCTTCTTAGTTTGAGACCTTGCTTGTTGTCAAACTGGGTGTGCAAGAACTGGCGAGTCGCGCGGAATGGGACTTTGAAGTGGTTACTTTGATGCTTTGTCCTCAGGCCTAGGTGCATTCTCTTCAGCCTGGTGTTATTATTCCTAGAGATAGATATCAAAAGTCTAAGTTCTTCTCTGCGTCCAGCGTAATATCTCCCAGCTGATTAGAGTGGGAATACACGCGTGACGATAGTTAGAAATAATATGCAGTCAGCTAGAAAACTTTCAAGATTCCTTGAAAAATAGACACCATGCAGCATGAGTTGCCTCACACATAAGACATAACTATAAAGGGAGGGCCTCTGAGCCCGCTGGTAGTCTTTGACTAGCAATGATCTCTCCAGTGATCGCGCAGACGATAGGGTTGATTGAGATACGCATATTGCTACTTCACCCCCCTATGTGATGTTTGCTCGCTTTATGCGATTGGTTCCCTTGCACCTTGTTCTCGTCAGAATATGCTTGCCCACGTCCCTCACAATGATTCTCTGTGTATACATACATTTCCGCGCGATTACACAACTTCTTCACATATCGTTGAAATCAGATTTGGCTTCTCTGCGTCCGTCATGATGACTCTTTGTGTATACGTACATTCTCGCCCGATTACGCAGTATTCAATCCTTTTGCGCAATAGCGCAGCAGAGACTTGCTGTGAGCCTGTGACACTGCTGTTTTGAATTGAATGGCAAAGGCATCTTTGTACTGCGCAACAAAGCTATATTGCCTATCAATTGAATGAAGGCGGCTTTAACTGATGTGAGTTCTCAAGGCTCAATGAGGATAAATGGTCTCCTTTTATCTCATTTTGAGGCGGACTGGAAACGGCAGACACTAAAGTATATAATGCGCATATTTGGAGTTGCTGGCTACAGCCGCCAGCAAGACAATGCGAACGCATTGACCGCTCCAGAAATCAGCCTGGATGTAAGTGCTATGGTCTTTGTCTGGCATTGAATGGAGCGAGGTGCGATGGGAATTGCGATGACGACAGCAGTAGGTGTGCCCCTGTATGTTGAACTTTTGTCTCGCGCGTCCGTCATGTCTTCCATCTGGCGCGTATTCCCTGTGAACATACTTTCATCTTTTTCATATCTGGGTTTAGTTTGACGATAGCAACAGCGCTGGGTCTGTGGTTTACCTTGTTTGGGATAGCATGAGAAACAGATGGGAAGTGCGCGTCCATTAGGGTGTTCGCTGCTCCCGAGACATTGTGCCCTATTCTTAGGCACTAGACATGCGGTCTTATATACACTGACTCTGGTCTACATGCGAGTGTGAGCGAGATGGTACTGAGATACTGGCACTTCGCATGTTCTGTCCTGGGTCTCTGTCATTTGCTTTGTGCGCGCAAGTATTGGGTGTAAGTATCCTCGTTATGTCATTAGTTACAGTTACATCTTTATTAATTTACTGCATCAAAGGTGGTGAGACTCTAGCAAGTTGCCCAAACTAATTTCTGATGAAAACATGCAGATGAAATGTTCTGAATAATCTCCTAATATGCTGGATCTGAAAGGTCATAAAATAGGTCTGAATGCCACACACAACTAGTGTTAAATTGCTGGTCCATATGAGATGATGATGACTGTGATAAGTTAAATGATCTTTGCTGGCATATTATAGTTGAGCAGGTTCACAAACTGGCTGCGCTGGGTCAGCTATTGCTTCTCTCACTGGAGGTTAGAAATTTTTTGGCACATGAAGTGAGTTAGCCGACTCCTACATTTTCTACCATACCTTCACGCAACTCTGATGATCAAATGTAACCTGGACCAGGCTTTTAGAAGGATCAGCAATAAGCTGCACCGAGAAGCCTCTGCAGCAGCTGTCTACAAGAGGCTGTAGACCAATGCAATAGAGTGACACCGTACTGTGACACAGGAAAGCATGCCATTAATTTGCCGACTACCCGGTGATGCCATCAGCTAGGAATGAGAATTGCGACTTCAAATTTTCCCGCACCTAGACAATAAAAATAGAATCAGCGTGGCGTGGCTGTGCCAAGCCTCGTCATCATTTGGTGAAGAATGGTATCTGATGTGTGGAAATGAGCATGGAAAAGCTGACTGTCTGGTGTCCAGAACTCGTAGACCATTTCAAAGCTTATGCGAAGAGACTCGCCTCCGAGAAAAGCAGCCTTCCGGCCGAGACCAAGCCGGAAGCTTTCCTCCTTTAGTCTGCAGAGCCCCTTGCCACGTGCATCAATGGCATCACCATTGGGTCTGGAATGGCGTTTAATTCTGATTCTCCTGACAGGAACTACGTTCCATGCCTCTGCGCTGCTCATAATGTCTCACTTTGCCCGGCTTGGCTGATCAGGCGAGGCCCGACGGCCCGCTCGCCGCCACCTTCAAGGGACCATGAGACAAAACAAGACAGGACAATCAACGATCCAATCGACAAGTCATCGTACTACGATCTTGATTGGCTTGTCTGGCGCCAATTGCCACTTTTGCTGGCATGCCAAGTCCAGGTTCAACAGGGGAGTTCATCTCAGGATGGGGTCATGTTGATTCTGGTTCCATCAACCTCACAGCGGGATGTTGTCAAATTCACTCAAACAGCATCCCTGTGTCCTTGCGCAAGGTTGATTAGAGACAAGGGTGCAAGTGGGCTTGTTGAAAGTCTGCGGCCGAAAGAACCATCGAATGCTGAATGTACTGTCTGCCTACATAAGCCCAAGGCAGTAGTAGCTCGTTGTAGCCTAACATAAGTGCCACAGGCAGACGACATTCACTTCTGCTTTCTGTCCACGAAAGTTCAAAGTCCGTGAGGATAACCACCTAATATGATTCGACCATCTACGCTAGCTGGCATTGCGGCTCTATGGGTAACGGCAACGGTAAATGTCGTTCACTGTCAATTCAATTACCTTGGATGTGGCGCCATTACCGATTTCGATAACCAGTTCCAGAACGTAGGCCCCTTCGATCCAAACATCTGTCCGCTTATCTGTGCCTCCAACTCCGGGAGTGACTACATTGCCCTGTACAATCAGGACTGTTATTGCGGCCTATATTCCATAACCCCGGCCTTTGCGGCAAATCCAGCACCCGACGACTCCCTCTGCACTATTGACTGTACAAATCCTCAAACACCTGGACAAAAGTGCGGCGGCGTTGTATATGGCATTACAGTATACAACGTCTACGGTGACCAGCCTATCTCAACTTCGCCTGGGAGCTCAACAACATCAAGTTCGAGTAGCAGCTCTAGCACTCTCATGAGTTCATCGACCGTGGTTACAACAACTTCCTCGAGCAGCAGCACATCAAGCACTGTCTCCTCGTTTACACCGACATCGACAAGCGCCACTAGCTCTTCAAGCTCAACCGCCACGAGTAGTGTCACAAGTAGTACGATTACTTCTTCGACCTCGAGTACTTCATCGACTATGTCTAGCGCAACAGAGACCAGCAGCGAGAGTACTTCTTCCACGATCACTTCCACTTCGTCCAGTGTTTCGTCACCGGCGAGCTCATCATCCTCTTCCTCAACCTCCGCAACTGGAGCGTCTACCTCATCATCCACTGCGTCGACAACTACACCAACGACGACACCGACGAGCTCTCCCGCCTCCACATCACCTACATCTACATCTTCATCTTCTCAAAGTTCTTCATCTTCCACAGGTATGCTCACGCCGGTACTGCGCTAGTTTGGTCTAATGATGTCGGCAGATTCGTCCTCTACTAGTGCCAGCTCGGTGGCCGTTAGCTCTACGTCCCCTAGCCCACTTCCAACGTCCACTACGAGCACGAGAAGTAGCAGCAGCCCCCCGGTTGTCTCATCGAGCGTGTCCTCAAGCGATATCCCGACTCTTCCCCAAACAACAACATCCATACCAGAAGTCTTCAGCCCCTCATCTTCCTTCCGGTTCACGAACTCGAGCATTTTGGCATCGGTACCAGCGACTTCGCAAGTGATCACCAGCTCACCCATTGTCGTAGCACCGTCTCCGAGCCCCGTAGAGACCCCACCAGTCTCAGAGCCAAGCTCCAACCCTGGTCCCGTGCCTGGGCAAAGCTCTTCTCGGACCACATTGCCCGTCGTCAACCCGAGTCCGAGCTCTAGCCCCGGATCCGTCCCAGCTTCTCTTCCCCTCTCCGTGCCGTCGTCTCTGCCGACCTCTCTGCCAACTTCGCTCCCGGCCATATCATTTCCCAGCTCGGTGTTGCCAGTTTTATCGAGTGTTCCGATCCTAAGTTCGGTACCGACCGTGTCGACCTCGAGCCCCATCTCACCATCTCCGAGCACGTTGGTCTCCGTATCAAGCGTTGCCACACCGGCACCCTCCATCCAGTCATCCAGCGAGATCAGCGTCTCTTCTAGTTCTCCTGCCGCCGTAGTGACGAGCACTTCGACGACTGTCGAGGAGACGCCTTCAACTACTATCATCACACCGATCCCATCGAATACGGTATTTGTCAATTTACCGATCAAATTAGTGATCCGCGCCGCTGTACCTCAGTCCCCAGCTGAGACGACGGGCGTAGGCGGTGCTCAGCGACGACAAGTTGACATGGTCCAGTATCTGAAGCTTTGAGCGAATTTGACGAGATTATGAATGTACGCAAGAATCGTAGTTAATGTCTAATGATTTACAAACACCTGCAAGAATATTGTGCAACTGAGATATTGAATTGCTAGCCGGGGCGCGTGCAGGTTCATAAACCGCAAACGCCCTATGCGCGTCTTTTGAGGATACCATAGAATCAGTCATATCTTTCTGGTCTTCAACTTTGCTATCGCAAATTTTGATGCCCAAGAGAAAAGCACGACCATAACGGTTCCCACTTGTTCAGCAAACGAGCGAAATAATTAGAGCCAGAAAAAAATCACCGAAGATTTCAACCGCTCGGCTATACTTACCTACTCTCAGGTGTCTGACAAGGCTGCGGACTATCGACTCAAGTCGGTTGGCGAGTCTGTCGGTATGGAGACATGCCAAGACCCAGAGCACCAAAGGATCGATGCCAAGTGCTGATATGGGTACGAAACTGGCCGCCAAGCCTCGTAGACGACATTTTCTGAGGATTCACTGGCACACTAGAGCACTGTAATGGAGTGCGACATTTTATCAGATCATGGATCGACAAATCAGATGGATCAGATAAGATTTCGATGTCGGAAAGTGGTGGCAGTGTGGTCGGCCTTCTGTCCGAGTTTTCGACGCGAGGGAGTCTGGCCTGGCTTGGCCTTGACCATGGGACTTTGCGCAAGTTCTTAGCCAACATAAGAGTCGCATTCACCCTCAGGCTTTTGTATGTGTTCTTGCTCGGTAGGGTGCTCTCAAGTCACCCATGATGGATGCCGGTCTGAAATCCCAAGTCCTCGTCACGGACACCGAGAAGTCGCCAGAACCGCCAATTTCAGAGACCAACGCACCCCGAGACAATGACGACGAAACACTGCAGAGGATTCCCTGGTCTTACAAATGGATCGCTCTTGTTTGTGTTGTTTCCCTACCCATCGGGCATACCTGGACCGGCTCGGCTCTCGGCCCGCTGAAGAACACCCTCCGGAACGAGCTCGACATCAACAATGCGCAATTTGGCGTGATTAGCAGCGCAGATGCATTCGTCAATACAGTGTTTCCCATCATAGGAGGCATGATCCTGGATTGGTGGGGCCCGAATGTGGTGACCATGTGCTGCACGGCAGTCATCCTCGTCGGCTCCGTGGTTGCGGCTGCCGGCGTGCAAGTGGGGTTGTGGAGGGTCCTCGTCTCCGGACATGTGCTGATGGGATTCGGGATTGCGGTGCTTGACTCGGCGACGCAGAAGGTAGGCTCATTTCGGGCATTTCAGGGACGCCTACTAGATGTTTGACATGCGTGACTAACATCAACCTGGCAGTTCTTTTACCACTGGTTCGGTGCCTCCGGTCTAGCCTTCGCCTTCGGCCTCGAAAGCGCCATTGCCAACACCGTCAGTCTCGTGTCCGGCATGGTGGCTATCCCCATTCGCGACGGGACGGGCTGGTACGGCTGGACCTTCTGGATTCCCGTCTTCTTCTGCGGCTTCTCGCTTGCCGTCAACATCGCATACGTCTGCTTCGAGCGCCTCGCAGTCCCGGCACATTTCCGCCTCACTTCCGGCCGAGCTAAAGCTATTACGGAGAAGCAGAACTTGTCGGATCGCAAGAGATTCTCGTGGAACGTGTTGTTCACCCTGCCCTGGGCGTATCTTATGCTGCCTGCAACACAACTTCTACAGAGTGGTGCTGCAGGTGGATTCAGCACCAGCTCTGCGGACATCATCTTCATGAAAGGGTACACTGAAGAGGTTGCTGGGTATTTGTCGACTGCGCAGAAAATTCTGCCAATTGTGCTGAGCCCTGTTGTTGGACTTGCCATTGACAAATATTGACACCGGTTTCACTACGTTGCAACTGCCCCCATACTATGGATCATTGCCTGTTCGATGCTGGGCTTTACCGACGTTCATCCGACAGCAGCCCTGGTCTTTTCAAGTCTGGCAGGTGTGATCAACTCTATGCCGTTGCAGATTTGCATTCCGCTGCTGGTTGCAGATCAAGCCAAGATCGGGACGGCCTTTGGTGTTTGGCGAGCGTTCAACAATTCCGGCTCAACGATCGTAAGTCGGCCTCACCCAAAAGATTACTGGAGTCATTTTTGCTGACTTAAGAGTGTAGATGGACGTCGTCTTTGGCGCCCTCCAAGATAGCACCGAAGGCAATGGTTATTCGAAGGTGCTTATCGTTGCTATCGCGATCAAAGCCTGGGCGTTTGTGTTGGGACTTTCGTACATCTTCATCGACTACAAGTTTCTCGGCAAGGGCATGACTATGACGAGGAAGCAGAGAGAAGCTAGGGAGTCTCAAATTGTTGACAAAGAGGCTGATCCCCTGACGAGACGAACCTCGAAAAAGTGGTTTACTACTCTCACATTCGGGCTGTTGCTTGCCATCATTGCGAGCGCATGGGCCGTTTTCGTGCGGTACTTGATCTGATGGATATCGCGAGTGGTTGGGGGTCCCTATGTCACGGGCTAGAGCCCGGATTGATATCTCCGGCTTCGCCGGAGCAGTTACCGAGATCCGGCTCCGTTGGACCCACTATTATGCCGCAGTACGCCGCCTAACCCGGCCTGCTTCACCGCTGTTAGGTGCCTACCCTTGTAAAGTCCTTTCTTCCTTCTTCAGCTTAGAATAGTCAATCGACGGCACCTCTACGTTGAACAAGCCTAGGGGCCAGCCCCTTACA